ACTACAAATTTTGACATTAATGAAGGTGGTGATAGTTTCCTTTATGAAATTTTACATGGTGAATATTCTGTTGGAGCTGGTTTTATTTCTATTTGTTCAAAAGTTAAATGCCCAACCAGAGAATTTGATATTCCACCCTTTGGAGATAACGTAGATAACAGCACAACGCTTAGCATTAAATTTAAAATTACATCAAGTACAACAATAAAAGTTTGTGCTCTGATTGTTCCAAACATTGATGATGTTAAAAACTAAAATAAATGCATATAAATTTATCTAAATTTTTGGAAAACTTATTTTAATAAAGAAGCTTGTGTACAACGACCAGTATTGATATTTACTGAGTTTTTAGCTTGAGGCTCAAAAGCATTAGAATATATATAAGCAATTGATATATTATTGTATTTACCAATCTGGCTTTAGTGTATTCATATAACATTATAAATGTTCTTTATATAAGTGATAATAAATACTCTAATAAAAAAGATTTAGATTCCTTCTATTTTAACTGAATTCTTGGAACGTAGTATGAAGAATGATGTTATAATATTTTATCAAAGTGTTGAGCATTCGGAGATAAAGAGATCCCAAATTCCAAAGATCTGGACTTTTATGAATCTGCCCGTAATATTTCTTGGGCAATTTAATGGCTTTAGTAGGTTATGAAATAATACTTACAACACCTGTGGATAAGTGTGAAGTAATCTATAATTATTGTTATTATGCATTATTCAAAAATCAAGCTATTGTGCAGCAACTGCATATTATTTCTTGTGAAAGCATGATTAGACCACGTAAGGCCAGACCAATTTGATTTGGTGGTTTACATTACCCCCCTCTCTTAGTAAAAAAAAAATTTTTGGGATATACATATATGATTTTGACCGGAGAACTAATGTCGGGAGGAATTAAGATTAAAAATTGTAAGGACCTAAAAATGAACGAACATAAAAGACGAGCAAGGTCAGGCTGATAATTTCGATTGAAAAAAAATTTAATAAAATTTACTATGTATACGTTCCATTTTCTCTCCCCTCTTCTGAAAAAAGGGATGTAATGTAAACTACCAAATCAAGTTGGTCTCGCCTAATCTTGATTGTTCATTTTGCATTACCCGACTGACCCATTATTTACAAGTCTTTTTTTTCACATCCAATTGTGCCAATTATTCGACTTTGCTGTTTATTTTTCTGTCATTTTGTCCAGTATCACCCGATGGAAACTTTCTTTTCTCGTAATTATCCAATAAGACCGACAGAAAAAAACTACTATCAACTTAATTTTCTGGTCCCTTGTTATGCAAAAAGAAGATTAACTTTGCCTAGCTTTAAATGTGAACATGATTCCATTAATTCAAAGTAGTTTAAAGAAATCCGACCCAATTTTCAGAATCCATGTAGTGTAGTAGATTAGTCGTGGCATAAAAAATTCTTCCCTTGTATCGCCACCAAATGTTAAGGTTATAATTTTAGTGTATTTAAAGTATCAATTTTGTGACATGCCTATTGAACAAAAATAGGGATGATTAAAGCAAGGTGTATTAGAATAACTTTTTGATGCAGTTAGAGTTACTTTTTCGAAACAGAAATGGTTAGTAGTTTATATAAATATCAAGAATATTATTTATGCAGCATATAGTTATTTCCAGATTATACTAAACGCACCTATAACTGACCCCAAAATATAAATCAGTCTCGTTATATTGCTACGTTAACATATTTTATTTTAGTCAAAATTTTATACCGCAATAAATGATATCTAAATTTTTCCAGGTCCCTGTTCCAGTATCGCAACAAAGTTTTACGGACATTATATTTTTGTGACGCAAACCAATCAGCTTTCAGAATCAGGTGTAACGTAATATGCAAACGTTCGTTTTGTCATAAATCGCTTATAACTCAAAAATCTACATAGATAATACCTTTCATGCATTAACAAAAAATTTTCCTTGAATGATTTTACAATTAAAGTCTACAATCAGCAAAAAAATATTTATTAAACTCACTTGGAATTTAAATTTTCTTAGCTTTTAGTTCTTAATAAGTACTTTGTAAAAATTATAAAGTTTCAAAA